AATAATTATACATGGCATTTTGGAGACCTGAGGCTTTATGGTGACCCACTCCAGCTCCAGCCTGGGTAAGCCCCTCCCTCTGGGTGCCCCTGATTGTATATATTTTTAACAGAAATTTTAAACTTGCTGTCCAATATGTTTACTAAAGCTATACACAGTAATGCCAGATAGGACAAAGAAAGTACTCCTGCTGGCACACTCCACACCGATGTACTAGCAGTAGCCAGGAAGCTGAAAGATTTACTCAAACCTCGTCTACACAAATGAGTTGGTAATTGGCCTAAACTGATGCTAGCTTCTGTGTATGAACCTTGGATTAAAGGGAAAATGGCACTCTGGTGATTGTTATATAATCAAAATGACAGCCAGGAGACAAGAATGAGTTAACACACCTATCCGGTACCAAATCATGAAGACTCTTCAAGCAACACCTACTGCACCACCAATAAACTCTTTGGGACATTTTTATTTAAGGGGGATCTTTGGGAGGGGGAGAGAGGCTGTACCAGGCATTAACTACAATATTGTATTAAAATTTAGTAATTGGTCCCTGAGGAAGTCCTCCGCTGAGGACAAAATGCGTAGGACCACTTTTTTGTTTGGTTTTTATTCTTTTAGCATTTTTAACTATTATATATCAATAAATCCTTTTTTAATAAAGTTCCTGAATCTTTCTAATTGGGACCACGAGCAGGAGGAGGCCACCCCCCCATAATACCAACAGGCGAGGCACTCTGAAGTCTCATGTATTGCATCCAACTTTGATAACAGCTGAGTACCTAAAACTGAATGTTTTGTATATACTCTGATAAATCAGCCTCACTTTATGGAGGAACAGACTTAGTAACATGGAAATGATTTGCAGCTACAGAGAGGCATGCTGGTTGAAAAACATTTACAGATTGAAGATAACATATCGTCACTGGGCACTATTCATATGAGCAGCGGAAGCATAACCCCAACACAGTAGATTTTTAGCATCTGTGGGTTGAGGCCGAAAGGAATGGTCAGAGCTTACGTGACTGAATGTTCATTGCCTCCTAGCAATGACCATCCTATCTACTGGTGTGAGAAAAAGAGTGTGTGGCATGCTCTGTGTATGCTTGTCAAGCTATTGTCATGTCTACGACCACTGTCCAAAGTGCTAAAGTGTTTTCTACTAGAGAGAATCCCCACAACACTCACAAACATTCCTGCAAATGATGGAGTAAATTGGCTTCCTCGAGTTCAATCTTGGGTTCCCTGTTCTATAGGTTTAATACTTGAGACATCATCATCTGCTAACTCATATCCAATTAGCCACTTACCTCTCACTTCAAAGCTGTTTCAAAATTTGTTAATAGCAGTGAAACAAATAATTTCAACATTTCAAATTAAATTACTGCTATGGGTCTCTCTTTTTTTCAAATTCCTTTCATTGTAGAGGTTTTGTCCTGCCTAGCTGAACATTGCAGTGTGACCACATCCACAGACGCAGTTGGAAGAAGCTGATAGGATGCTGTTTTGTTCCATACTGAAGGGTGGGTACTGATGCAACTGACTGGATTTGTGGGAAAGCCTTTTTCTTCTGAGGGGGGAAGGTGTGATTGGGTCGTCAACTGATCACTGACTTATTTCAACTTAAAATGACCCCAGCTACTCCTCTAATTATTCATGAAAAAGGATTGCAAGAGAGAAACAATCATTATAAAGTCAGTTTTCCTGAAACAAAATCACATGGATGAAATGCATCACAACCAAAACACCACACGGATGAATTCTTGTTCATCAGAACCATTTTTTTTTTTCAGACAAATTGATTCGGGCAAACTGAATTTTTCTGATGTGCACAAGTCTAGTGCCCACTGTAACCTTAGCTTTCACTACTTAGATAACAGCATGGAACTCAGTGTGTCATGTACTACTGTAACCAATAAACTTCAAGGTGCTGTAAACAGTCCAATGACAGATGTTATTCTACATAGCACTGTTGTAGTACGTGGTTATTTGAGTTGCTGTCAGCTTCCAGTTGGCTTGAATCAGCCTGTCCATGCTTGTCTAACGTCACTCATTACAAAGGCGTTTTCTGCCTGCAGAACTATAGTTCCCTGTCTGTGTTTTGTTTTTTTAACTATTCATTGTAAACCATTATTCTTTGTTATTCTTGGTTATCTATTATTGTATGTGAAAATGCAAATAGATGAGCAGGATTCAAACATTCCATGATCAGTGTCATTTACTTCATATTTATTCTGCATTTTGATGCTTGGCTTGAACAGTTAATTAACCTATTGAACATATCTGCAAAATTTTATGCATTGTTTTGCTGCCATGTAATTGATTATATATTTGCATTACCGAGCATGTGTATAGATGTAAATGATACAGTGACGAGGAGAGAAGGAGCATGTTTGTGTGTCTGTGTAGCCTTAACCTTCTTATACTTCTTGTTCCTTTTTTCCTGTGATAATGTTTGCTTAGCTTAGCTCCAGGTACCAAATTAACGCTCTAGTTCTCATGTTCAAGGTATTCATTTTTAAAAATATATATTTATTTTCTCTCTCTTTTCTAACAATAAACATATTCAAGTAACAAGAAAGCAAATTTGCTGATCATTGCTAACCTTATTTCACTATTACATGTACCATGTAAGTATTATTTACACCTCTGTATGTGATATATATTGAAGGTAGCTCCAATGCATCTTTACGCTAAGGATACTTGTTGTAGATGGGGGCAGCATGATTGGTAAACACCCACCTTTTCCCATTTTCAGTGACTGTTTGCTCATCGCTATTATTCTCTTGTAAGGGGTAATCATTATTATGTGTTATACAGACTCATCCATATAGAAAAAAAGATGTTTACTGTTGTGTTGAAGGAATGCAGTGATCAGTTAATTACGTACAATAACAAGAATATGACATTAGATGTACAAGCCTTAAAAGGTTGTCAATATAAACTGCAGGAGTGCTTTTAAGAATTAATAATGCTGAGAATTTAAATAAAATCATGTATTGAATTTTGTTGTGTTTTCCATTTCTGTTACTATTCTTTTTTCGTAAAGAATTTCTTCATGCAAATTCAATACCAATTGACCCCTCAAGCCAGTGGGCAATGCATGGAGTGAAATGCATTGATTTCTGTAAGTAAGATATTATTGACTTTTCAGATAGCTTGTTGAAAAAATACCAAGGCATTGCAGTGTTTCTATAGGAGCACCCCTGAATTGCATCCATAGATTTTTTTTCTTATATTGTGCTAGTTAGAGTAAAAGTTTATTACGGTTACTGATTCACGTTATTGATAATTTACCCAGTGTTTAAAAAAAATTGCACCCTACAGTTCTGGAATTACCAGGCAGTTAAATTGTAATGAGGTGAAGATACCAAATTTTTAAGATATGGATAATTCTAGCAATGATGTAACGAATGGCACAACCTAGCACAAAGCAATGTTGGTCATAGGCAGATTGCCCAGATCTCGAGCTCTACGCAATCTCCAACACCCACAGTCACTTCTGCTTGTGAGAACAACAAGCCTCAGCCTGACTCAGATATATGGTTTTACAGGGTCTTTTTACTTTTTATTTTAGAAAAAAAAGGAAAATAAACTATATTTTCTTTTATTTATTTTTCAATCTCCTAGGGTAAAGATGTTGACCTTTTTTTACACAAAAATCTAAAACTGAACATTAAATAAAGTAATATAGTATAGCGAATAGATGGAGTACTAGAATCACTCAGCTAAGTTACTTAAATCAGATTTATTGATGTCAGGATTCCATGATTCTCCTGCATCCTGACTAAAGAGATATGCCTGTCTCCAACAGTCTCTACCTTGTAATTATGTTCTCCCTATTTAGTCTTGCATTATCCCTTTTCTGCTGCAAGTTAATTGGATTTGTTCCAAGCTTGGAACCTATGTCCTGGTCCTAGATGCCTTGTTCCCTGTGTCCTACTCCTGGTGGCTCTATCCCCGTGTCCTGCTCTTGGAAGCCATGCTCCATGTGCCCTGCTCCTGGTGGCTCTGTCCCTTTGTCCTGTTCCTGAAAGCCTTGCTCACTGTGTCCTACTCCTGCAGGTCTTGTTTCCTGTGTCCTGCTCTTGGAGACCTATCTATCCAGAATAATGCCTGTTCCCTTGTATTGAGTTTTCTTGTGTTGAAATTGTGCGATGCTCCTGAAGGAATTTCACCCCGTGTTCTGCTTGTGGAGACCCTGCTCTCTGTATCCAATGGTCTATTTCCTTGTATTGCATTTTCTTGTTTTGCAATTGTGTTATTAATTTGTGTTCTTGCAACTCATAAACTTATTTTCCTTTTTTATTGTGTTTTGTGGTTTCTTTGCATTCCTATTTATAGTAAAAAGCAAAGAAAAAAATTACCTGCAAAATTTAAAATTACCTCCTTAATCCCTATGTATATTTAGACAAATGGAGGTCATTTAGTTACTCCAGTGGTCATTGGAGGGAATGCCCGCCTGCCAACGTCAAGGCAGACCCCCCTAAGCTGGTACTACACTGACCCTTCACCTTGCTTCCTTGAGCTTCTGGCAAAGATATCTCCAATGAGACAGAGAGGGGTATTTCTTATTATATACACCCCTATACAGGGATGTGTCTACCGCGAGGCAAACAAGGCATTTGCCTTGGGCGGCAATTTTCAGGGGGCAGCAAAAAACGCCACCCCCAAATGCCCAGGCAAATACCTTGTTTGACAGAACAAGGGGTAGAGTCAGCGCTAATCGGGAAGGCAGCAGTCCCAAACAAGGACTCCCTCTAATGTCCCGGGAAATCAATGGTAAAAGCAAGAAAATAGGGAGATGGGTCTGCGCCAATGTGCACAATGATTAATAGTATTGAGTCCAATAGGGTCTATGTTGTCGTTTCCAAAGTTCTATTTTTAGCGATATCCAGAAGGTATAAAATGTATATAAAACGTTTATAAAAAAGCCAGGTAACAAAAAAGATGATGGTTTAAACGTAAAAATGACCAAAATCTTTTTATTAACAGTATATAAAACAGTAAAAAATATCCAAACGCGTTTCGCCAGTATAAGGCTTTATCAATGGATAACAAAAAAAAAAATGTTATCTAATGATAAAGCCTTATACTGGCGAAACGCGTTTGGATATTTTTTACTGTTTTATATACTGTTAATAAAAAGATTTTGGTCATTTTTACGTTTAAACCATCATCTTTTTTGTTACCTGGCTTTTTTATAAACGTTTTATATACATTTTATACTATATACTTCTTTTATTATTTTTAACTCCTGCATACTATACTCCAAAGAATCCTAGTGATTATACCACCTACGCTGTCACATAGAGCAGTTAGCCTGCCCTATACATTGTGAGTATATTTTATTATTTTATTTTATTACTAAGATTTTATTGAGAGCACTATCGCTGTTTTATCTTCTCTCCGAGCTCCTGATATTCTCGTCAAGATCACTCATCCTATATCCTACAAGCGGGGATGATACTGCTGTACGCCTAACCAACTAGAGCTAGTCAAAGCTCTACCGAATGTGAGTGTATCTATTATATTTTATAATTTTTACTATACGTGTAGAACATACTGCACCATCATTGTCTCTATTTTTATTTCCAACTTGGCCACCTGTCACTACAAAGAAGAGGACACCTGCCGCATATCCTGCAAGCAGGATAATACCGCTGTAAGCCATTCACACCAGAGCTGGATTAAGCTCTGCTAATTGTAAGTAAGATCTCTTCTATTTTTACATATTTGGATTACTCTTCACATCACCGACACCTTCTGGATATCGCTAAAAGTAGAACTTTGGAAACGACAACATAGACCCTATTGGACTCAATACTATTAATCATTGTGCACATTGGTGTAGACCCATCCCCCCATTTTCTTGCAAATACCTTGTTTGCCTCGTTTTATGGGAGCCCAAGAGTTGGCGGCTGGCCACCTTTGGGCTCCCCTGGGGCAGCGGGCGTTTTTTTCTCGGGCGGGCGGCGAGAGAGCACTTTCCCTGAGCTCTCTGCTCAGCTCACTTGCGCGACCCGCAGTAATGCCGGGAGCTGGAATATGACATCATATTCTGGCTCCCGGAAGCACTCTGCAGTGCGTGAGGGAAAGTGCTCCCTCGCTGAAAACTGCACGTCCATACGCCTTCCTGCCCAGCAGCCCCACTGGACCCGAGGTGAAAAATCCACCCAGCTATCCCAAACTTAGGGAGGCTGGGTGGATTTAAATAAAAAAAAAAATAATAATAATTTTGTGTGTGTCAGTGAATGTGAGTGTCAGTGAATGTGAGTGAGTGTGTGTGTCAGTGAATTTGAGTGAGTGTGTGTGTTTCAGTGAATGTGTGTGACTGTGTGTGTGTCAGTGAATATGTGTGAGTGTGTGTGTGTCAGTGAATGTGTGTGAGTGTGTGTCAGTGAATGTGAGTGAGTGTGTGTGTCTCTCAGTGAGTGTGTGTGTTTCAGTGAATGTGTGTGTCAATGAATTTAAGTGAGTGTGTGTGTCGGTCAGTGTGTATGTGTCTGTCAGTCAGTGCGTGTGTCTGTCAGTGAGAGAGTGCGTCTGTCAGTGAGCGTGTGCGTCTGTCAGTGAGAGTGTGCGTCTGTCAGTGAGTGTGTGTCCGAGTAAGTGTATGTCTGTCTATCAGTGTGTCAAATCACTGAGTGTGTGCATGTCATTGTTTGTCAGTGTATATGAGAGTGTGTGTCTGTCAATGAGTGTGTGCATCTATGAGTGAGTGTGTGCATCTGTCAGTGAGTGTGCATCTGTCAGTCAAAGTGCGGCCTTGACAGGAAGGGGTGGGAAAAATTTAAATGGGGTGGGGAGGTGCCCGAGCACCGTCCTGCCTAGGGCAGCGCAAATCCTAAATACACCACTGCCCCTATATACTTATTAACCCTTAATAGTCCAGCCCTGGTAATATCCAGCCTTAAAGATGTGTTGCAATTTTGGGCACCAGTTATAAATAATGATATTGCAAAACTAGAAAAAGTGTAGAGTTGAGCTGCAAAATAAATAGGGGAATAGAATACATTAGTTATGAAGAAAGACTAGAAAACCTGCATTTGTTTTGTTTAAAAAAAAAAATGCCTTAGGAAGCATAAGATAGTATTATACAAATACATACAGAATCCATACAAACTGCGGCGGGGCCGGGCCGCCGGGCCGCCCGGACGCATTATACAGGGGCTCCAGCATTACCGGAGCAAAAAGGCACAAAAAGCCGCCCCAGACCGCAAAGAAGCCGGATAACCCGACAATAATTGACAGGGAACAACCTTAGCGCATCATAGACGCCGGCACAAGGCACAACACAAGCCAGACGGGCAATGAAGGGCGACTCTGCCGCGTGTAGGCTGGGCTCCAGCCTACACGCGGCAGAGCACCTGACCGCGGTCACAACACGCGGCATGTAACTACAGAGGGCCACGGACCCGAAACACATATGCGGGAGAGAAGCCGCACGGATGGTCCCATCAGCACCCCCGGCCCGGGGCACGGCCCTGCCCCCCCCCCCGGCCGGTGGGGGTTATCCCGGCCACATGGCGGCGACCCATGCCACGACGGGAGTCCCTACGTGGGGTGTGCGATACCCGCCTGCACTGGCAAAAGCTGTATGTGCAGCAGCAAGCCAGCAGCAACTGCCAATTACACGGAGGGAGAGCCCGAGGAAGGGAGCACACAGACCCCGAATAAGCGGAGGCTGCTCACTGCATGAACAACGGCCCTCCATCAGCCTTGGCGAGACAGCTCAGGAGCGGACATGTGATGGAACTGCTCCAACACAGCTTAACATACCCGGAGGACCACGGTATAATTTAACATGGGGGACTGGCATGGAAAGGTTCCCCAGGAACAGCCCACCAGCAGATAAGGGCGGACGGAATGGCAAGCACGGCAAGATCTACCTACACCTGAGTGGCGGCTTCTGTATGCGGCACGAGGGGCCCAGACGGCTGCCGGCTCACGGACGGACCCCAGACGACCTGCCCCCTGGTGACGATACTGGGCTCTGCATCTGGGTTTCTGGGTGGCCCGGAGAAGGATGTCCCTGGCGCAGCGAGCCCTGTGGGGCCAGAAGGCACTAAACCCCTCCGGTATACCGGTGGCCGTGAGGGAGGAGGCGCATCGGCTCTAAGTGTGAGGCCTGTACTGGGTGAGACGCGTGAGACCAGGTGTCACCTGGCAGCGCAAGTGATGCGGGGGAGGTGCAGGGGACAGCGGGTACTGGGACTTTTGTGGGGGGTCTCATGGACTGGCCTGGACCCCGAGTGCCCACTGCATCACGGAGCGCTCCGCAGGGGACTGAGTCCTGGAGGAGGACAGATGGACGACCGGCGTCCTAAAGGACCTCACCGACCCGGTATGCAGATAGCTTACCGCTCTATAATTCAGCCCAACATACACCGCTGAAAATTCCGGGACTATTCCTATAAGCAAACTCATGTGCAATTCTGGACACTTGAGAAGTCCCTCACATAAGCTTAGATATACATAAAGATTACTTAGGGGCTTTTATTCATGTTCATAGTTAATGTCGTTATAATGCAAACAAGTTTTTAAGGGATAGCTCGCACTAGTGCCTTAACAGCTGCATTCAGTCCGTATCTACTTTGCTTAAATGATGCTCCTTATGCTGACAGTTGAAAAAGTTATTGTAGCTTAGATTGTTACTAAAAGTCTGACTCTAATCAACTAGCTGATTAATTCTCGCTTATTACTGTAAACCTGATATCTAAATAGCTCTGTTACCTACTGAGGCAGCAGACTGCAAACAAATATACTCCTTATGCTGAAAATTGAAAAAGTTTTTGTATCTTAGATTGTTGCTTCATGCCTGACTCTACTTAGCAAGCTGATTAATATGCCTCTACACAAGAGAAAACGTGCATTCACCAACTAGCAAACACGCAGCACTGACATACACTACTTAACATGAAACACTTACCTAACGCAATAATTGAACCAATAAGGCAACACGGTACATAAGAGCATACAACACAAAGCGACCACCAGTGAACAAAAACTCAGGTTAGGACAAATCCGCTTCTACGCAGGCAACTAAATGTATATGCAATGTTAAACTAATATCTGAGCCCCTGCGTGGGCAATCACTTGCTTTACTACAAATCCATTTGATGTATGACTTTATATTGTGCACACAATAAAAATATTCAAAACAGAATCCGTACAAACTGCTATGTGCTAACCTGTTCATAGCAGGAATATACAAAAGACAAGAGGTCACCTATTGAGACTGGAAGACTGAAAAAAATTGTATATACAGTAAGAACAATAAAGATGTGGAATACTCCTAAAGAGGTTGTTTGATCAGATTCCATAGATATTATTTTTTTTTGCAAATACATAATATTCAATGATATAATTAATGTGTATGTGAACAGATTGTTGATCCAAGAAGGAATCTGATTGCCATTATGAAGTCAAAAAGGATGTTTCCCTTTTTGTTGCATAATTGGAAATGGCTACAATTTGGTTTTTTGCCCTTTTTGGATCAACAGCATAAACGAATGGGCTTCACTGTCGAACTTTAGTCTTTTTACAACCTAAATTACTATGTGACTTTGTAACTTACTTACGAGGCCCATAGGTTGCTATATCTTGTGCAGAGAGAACTTGCAGTTCAAATCTGGAGTGCCCTTGTAGGTAGTATTATGTAACTGGTATAGATTCTAGCTGTAATAGCTTAAGTCTAAAACTGGCTTGACACATGAGTGGAAACTAAACAAAGAGCAAACTTGTGTTTGCCCATTCTCAGTGTTCTCATAAGCTCAACTGTAAGGAAAAAAAACAAGCATATTTTAATGCTCCCATGGTTATTAAAGGACATTTCTAAATGTATGGGTCAGTCTTTTTTACACATTTGTATACAAAAAAGAGGGGAAACCGCTGTCTCAACCTAAAAGAAAATTAACAGCTCATAGCGAAAAAAACATATAAAGCATGCATACAGTCACGCTACTGGAAACACTCACAGAGTGGAGATAATCAAAACGCCTTCAGAGTGTCTCCCCTAGACCTTAGGGGAGTTAAATATGGATCCACTGCACTCAGGAACCCAGAAACCAGGAAATAGCAGGAATAATAGTGTGAAAATAAAATCGTATTTATTAATAAAACGCCA